GTAGATGCCCAAATGCTCAGAGGCCAGGTGTGAAATCTGATCGTGTGCAGGGCCAGCAGTGTCCTGCCTCGAGTCCTGTGTGACCTCAGGCCTCAGTCCCCCCCAGCACCCTCCACCTCACAGACTGTGCTGAGAATTTAGGGCAGACCTGTAAGAGATGTGTGTGTGGCAGTGTTGGGTCAGGGCACTTCTGCCGGCAGGAGGAGACAGGTACTGACAGGCATGGTGGGGCTGAGACACCCTATCCTGCCTCAGCCTGCCACAGGTGAGCTGGCAGTAAGTGGCGGAAGATATCAAGTGGCAGCTCTCGGGTCTTAGAAAGTTTCTAAGGGCATACAGACCTAATGAGGCCATCTGAGTGGATGCATGTCACAAGCTATAAAGCCTGGTGAATGTGAAGTGGTGGTGGCACTACGCGATTCATTCAGCACACAATGTTCTCTGACCCCCTCCCACCTACTTTGTTCCAGAACCTGTGCTGGGCACACGGAGTTCAACAGTGAATGGCACAAACCATTCTCTGCCCTCAGGTCTAATGTGAGTCTAAAATATTGCAGGCTTCAGTGTAGTCACTAAATCCTGTCATCCCCACAAAGAGCCAGCGCCGTTTGGGTGTCAGCATGTGAGACATTCATATGCACTTCCCATGGTGTGGGGGCAGGTCACTTGCCAGGTGCCTTAAAGCGGAGCCCTGCACCTTCCTGCAGCATCGGCAGCGCCTATCCCTGAGTTAACAGGCAAGGATCAAGCTCAGGGCCCTTCACACATCCCTCCACCGGTCCTCCTCAGGACCAGGCAGCCCTGATTCCAGGTGTGTGCTGGAACATAAGAAAAGCAGTGCACAGAGTATTGCGCTCAAGCAACGTATCTAGCAGGTGCTTACTCAGGAATACAACTCTCAGCCATCATGCCACAGGGGGTTCAAGCAGCTGAGCAAGTGCTGGGAGAGCATCAAGACTCCAACCAAAAATGTATGGCCATGAAAGGAGAGAGAAAATGAAATGGAGCATCAGCCCGCTTCTGAGTCCCTAGGCCCTGGAAGGAGAGGCTCGCCAACACGCTGCCCGGGCAGCTCTGCTTCCTGCAGAGCCCTCCGGAAGAAAAGCCCAAATACCAGAGAGATGCTTCAGCCCAAGATTTTCTGTCTAAAATAGAGAAGTGTCCAATGAGAAAGTTCATACATTTTCCAGTATGTGAGGGGACCTCTCAACCTGAACCCTCATGTTCAGCTGTCAGACTAACGACCAATTAAAATGACAGGAGCAAAACTTCTTAGAAAGATGCTTTTAAAAAGAGCATGCGGCCCCTGATGGGGTAGAGTGTTGTCCCCATATGTCAGGAATACACAAAAGTTGAGAGTTTGATCCCTGTTCAAGACACATACAAGAATTAACCAATGAATGCATAAGTAAGTCTAACAACAAAGCGATGTTTCTCTCTTCTCTCTCTCTCTCTCTCTCTCTCTCTCTCTCTCTCTCATCAATCAATCAATCAATCAATAAAAAAAGATGCATGATGAAGAGCACCATTAACCAATGTCCATATTACAACTGCAGCTAATATAAATGAATGAGGTGCATGTAACCAAAATCCAGCAGATATAGTTAAGAGTGTGAGATGGGTGAGGATGAACATAGGATAAAAATGGAAATTATCAATAAAAGGATGTAGTGAGAAAGAAAACCACAAAGTTTTAGCAAGGAATGGCCTGTTTCTTCAATTAACTGCCCTTTTCCCAATCCACCCTAAGACTGTGTAGGCAAAAAAATCTGGAACATGAACTTGTGGTCAGTAACTTGTAACAGAGCTGCAACTAGGAAAATTAGAATGGTAGTAGCCAGTTAATTAAGAATGCATTCAGGGCCCTGGCCGGATTAGTTGGTTGAAGCATCCATCATTTGGTGCACTGAAAGGTTGCAGGTTCAATTCCTGATCAGGGCACATACCTAAGTTGCAGGTTTGATCTCCAGTCGGGTGCAAATGGGAGACAACCAAATGATATTTTTCTCTCACATCAATGCTTCTCTCTCCCTTCATTTCTCTAAACACACACACACACACACACACACACACACACACACACAAACAAACAAAAAAAACAACAATGAAAAACACACACATATATCCTTGGATGAGGAATAAAAAGAAAAAAGAATACATTCAGTTGCATTCAGGTACCCTCTGTACCCCTTAACTGGAAAAGAAGTTGTTATAGTCTTCTGAAAATTATCACTCTGAGTACTATAATTCTGAATGTAAAGTCTCCTAATTAGAATTCATACAACAACTAGAAAGAGAGGAAGGAAAGAAGGAAGGAAGAAAGGAAGGAAGGAAGGAAGAATTAATAGTTGTATCTTAGAGAGAAAGAAAATATTCCTAATGGACTATCTGAAATGTGAGAATAAGGTGGTGAAGGAGTTCTTAAACTTGACCCAAAATGCACAGTGTATAATGGGAAAAAACTAACATATTCAATACATGAAAATTAAAAACTGAGTTCATCAAAAGATATGATAACGTGTGAGATGTGCTGGCAAAATAAATTTGTGATATTTATAATAGTCAGTGAGATACACACTACTAGAAAGAATTCCTGTGAATCAATAAGAAAAGACAAAGTTATAAGAAATTTGGAAAAAATAAAAAAATTCACAGAAAAGTAAATATATGAAAATAAGTTCAATTCCATTAGTAATCATAAAAAGTAAAATCTAATGAGATACATAGAAAATTCTAAGGAATATATCAAACCATCACCAAAAGAGAAGAATTCAGAAACCCTCCTTGAACTAATAAGTGAGTTCAGCAAGTTACAGGATACACTACTAACACACAAAATCTATCCTGTTTCTAACCACTAGCAATGAACAATTGGGAAAATTTTTTTTAAGCAATACAATTTACAGTAGCTTTCCCAAATCAAATATTAAGGCGTAATTATAAGAAAATATGCACATCATCTATAACACCACAACCTACAAAACATTGATTAAAAAAATTCAAAGAACTTCTTACTAATTGGAGAGATGTACCATGTTCGTGGATTGAAAGATTTAACATAGAAAAGATGTCATTCTCTTCAAATGGATCCTAGATTTAACACAATCAAAATCCCAGCAGATAGATATTCAGATATTAACATGCTGATTCTAAACTTTAGGTGGAAAGGCAATGGAAATAGGAAAGGGGTGAACTATCTCCTGAAATGGGCAGGAATGTGAGTCACCTGTACTGTCAACTCTTTTGATTACAGTGACTCTATAGAAAGTTTAAAATTCGGTAGTATGATTTCTCCAAACTACAAACCCAGGAGACATCCTTGGCTCCCTCCACCACCAAATCACCCAAAATTTCCAGTGGCCATAATCCAACAGGTTTTTCTTTTTCAAAACTATTTTATTACTTTGTAACAAACAAATTCCTTTGTGTTCATTATGCAGTGTGAGCAATGAAACATTATCATTATCTTTGGAGACTTCTATACACCCATTCCCAGCCCCATAGCTCTTTCTTCCTCAGGAAAGTCATTCTCAGGAGGTGCTTGGGAGGTGCTGAAGTAATTGAGGAGTAGCAATGAGTCAGATTTTTGTACCCATTGGGTTTGAGGAGCTTGAGAAATAGGACCAGGACTGGGGTGAGGCAAGTGAGATGTCTGGGTGAAAAATGTCATGACGAACTCACTTTTAGTATCATGTAAGTGCAGGTTTGGTCCCTGCAGAGAGCAGAGACATCCACAGGCAAGTGGATGGACACGTGGGGTTGAAGGCCACAGAGAGAAATGGGCTGGCAGTGGGTTCCTGGGATCCAGCCTTTGAGGTCCTAAGCCCAGATTTAATGTGTGAAGAGAAGGAGAATGAGGAGGCTCATAAGAACATCCTGAGGAGGCCCCATGAAGATTTACTCAGAGAGTTAGATACAAACCAACAATAAAACAAGTTGGACACCTTGGACAGGTAGCTCAGTTGGATAGAGCATTATCCAATACATCAAGATTGAAGGTTTGATCCCTGGTGAGAGCACATATAAGAGGCATAAATAAGTGGAACACCAAATCTCTCTCTCTCTCTCTCTCTCTCTCTTTCTCTTTCTCTAATCAATTTTAAGAAGCCACTTGGAACTTATGTCTATCCTCTCCTCCAGGCCTCTAACTGTATATGCATCTGGTAGACATATATAGTTCCTCCCCTGGGCTCAACAACCAGTGCAAGTCCAGCCCCAAAGCAAACAAAAACAGAGCCCAGAGAAGTCAGGGAAAAGGTTTGGTTTCTCCACTAAGGGAGATAATAAATGACTAGACACAGTTGAGAGGTGATTAAACTGGAACCGTACTGCCTAGCAGGGCATCAGACATTCTAACTTGGCAGGTGGAGCGGGGGGGGGGGGGGGGGGGGGGAGGAGAGTGCAACAAACCAAGTTCCCACAGGGCCAAGCATGCACTGTCAGTGGGTGAAAGGATCCAGGAGAAGGGGAAAACGATTCCACAGTGAAAGTGAGCAACAGAACGTGCTACACAATGGCATGGGGTTACAGGGGAGAGGAATGAGGTCCACTGAGGACTCTGGGTCCTTTTTAAAAAGATAGTCATAACTCATTCCTGCCTACTCTTGCCTGGGAAATGTGTTCACTGTAGCCAGAACTAGAGATTTCTCAAGAAATGTCTGAAATCTGGATTTCTCATGTGAAATGTCTTATTTTAAATGGTGGCCACTTACTCAGACACATTTTAAAAAACTGTATATGCCAACACTGTTTGGACCAAGTAGATACACCCACAGGCCAAATTTGGCCAAGTCCTTCTGTGGGCAGCCTCTGTGTTAACCCCTTGGATTTTGTAATAAAATTTACTGTGAGGGCACCAGCCTTCCTCCCCATTCCCTCAATTCCCCCCTAACTTCACCCGAAGAGCTTTTAACCAGAGGCAGAGGAGCAGAGAGACCCCACAAAGGAAGACGACCCCACACATGCAAATGACCTCTCCTTCCCTGGTTTTTCTCTTACAGGTGTTTGGGTTCTGGGTCTGGGTCCTGGTGTCCGCCACCCACGTGGCAAACCCGCTGCTGCAAGGATGGGTGTTGTATGTCTCGCTGACCTCATTTCTCATCTCCCTCATGTTCCTGTTGTCTTACTTGATTGGATTTTACAAGAGATATGAGTCCTGGAGAGTCCTGGTAAGAACCAGTGCGGGACTAGGCCCTCAGACGCCCCCAGCTGGTGTCCTGGGTGTTGTGGGGAGAGCGGAGGGAGAACCAGAGACCTTTCCTGGGCTGGGCCCCCATGACCAAGATTTTATGTGAATGTGTTTGCTCTGAAACTGGAATGAGAGCGCTGTCCTGCCAGAGTCAGTCTCATTGCATTCCCTGCTGTGCCTTCCTTGTGAGGAGCGTACACATTCTGTATGCAGTTGACCCTTGAACAGCATGGGGTGAGGGGCTGACCTCCTACACAGTTGAAAATCTACTTATAACTTCTAACTCCCCCAAAATGTAGTTACTAAAAGTCTATTGTTGACTAAAGGCCTTACCAATAACACATGTAATTGATTAATACACATGTCATATGCTAATGTATTATATACTGTATTCTTACAATAAAGAAAGCTAGAAAAAGAAAATGTTATTTAGAAAATCATAAGGAAGAGAAGATACATTTACAGTTTTTATTGAAAAAAATCCACATTTAAATGGACCAGCACAGTTCAAATCTGTGTTGGTCAAGGGTTGACTGTACTCCTGTGTCAAGCACATCCTGACACATTTCCCTCTAAATCTCATTTGGGAAAAATCAGCAGAGCAATATCGAAGGAAATGCCAGCAGGAAAAAATCATCCCAATCACTGGGTTTATTCTTCTGATTCCCCACAAATTTTGTGTAAAATTTGTATATATGTTAATCACACTGAACTAATAATGTTGGATGTCAAAACTTTCATTTAATATTACATCATTGTTTCATGTTTCCACATCATCTTGATAATTGACCAGATTAAATGAGATAAGTGAGAAAAGAGCGTGGCCTAGAACTTGGCACAGAATAAGCTCTCGATTAGTATTTATATTATTACTGCTGTTTACTAATCCACTATTGCTCACTATATAGATATTTCATCAGAAACACTGCAAACAACCCCCCCCCCCAAAAAAAAACAAAAACAAAAACAAAGCATGAGTTGGGGAGCAGGCCTGCCTCTTTCTCACTCCTCCCAGCTGTGTTGTGGGAGGAAAGCGCTCACTGGCTAAGTGCCCGGGTGATGTGGCCTCCCTCTTCCCTTCCAGGACAGCCTGTACCACGGGACCACCGGCATCCTGTACATGAGCGCGGCTGTCCTGCAGGCCCACGCCACCATCGTCTCTGAGACTCAGGACCTGGGCAACTACATGACAAACACCGCGGCCACGGTGGGTGCTGGGCCTGATGCCATGGGGAGGGGTTCCAGGGGCTTGGCTCCTTGGCTCTGCCTCCGGCAGGACAGCCCACCTGAGCCCTCGGGCTGATGGAGCACTGGGGACAGGACGAGGAATGTGTGTGTGTGTGTGTGTGTGTGTGTGTGTACACGCACGCATGTGTGCCCAAGCTCGCAGTGCTCTGGGCCCAAGTTCAGGTGTCACCTCTCGCCTTCTGTATTTCCACCTCAGCCCTCTTACATTCCCTTCACTGCCATCCAAATATATATATATTTTTTCCCCCAAAGCACAATTGGAGCAGCCATCTCCTATTGCAGGTCCTTCAGGGCTCTCATTATTATGGAATGGAGCCCAGGGCCCTCAGCACGGCTGCACTGTCCAGGCGCCCTTTTATGTCAGTGATGGGACCCACGGCAAGGTAGTCCAGCCCGACGGTGGGACACGCGGGACCTCAGACCGTAGGCCCCTGTGCCTCCCCTCCTGGTCTCTGCACTGCGCCTCCTTCCTCCTGTGTGGGAATGGCGCCCTCACGTGGCAGTAAGCTCACAGCTAACAGATTCCTCCTCTGACAGACTTCGCCTTTATCGCCTCACCTGGGAAACTTCCAGGGCAGGACTCCGGCGCCCAGCTGGGTCTGTCACGCTGTCACCATGGCATCACTGTGCCCACAAAGGTGGAGTACGTGTCCCTGGGGGCTCCCACAGAGATCAGGTGGCCAAGGGGTGCAGCAAGGGGGGCTGCCCAGAAAAGAATGGGGTGCCAGACAAGCACCATGACCCACTAGGGTGGCCACAGGTATTCAGCTGTCTTTCCAGCCTGTCTTTTTCCTTCTCATTGAACTATTTCCCCTCCTTCAACTGCCACCCACCCCACCTACGGCCCCGGCCCTTCACAGCCTGGCCCTGCACACTGCCACCCGCCCTCAGCTGCTACGCCACACAGGCCTCCCGGCTGCTTCTGAACACAACACATCTCTGCCTCAAGGCCTTGGCAAGGACTCCCTCGTCACATGAGGACAGGAGTTTTCGAATGTTCACTGGTATAACCACTGTTGTTTTTGAAGTATAACAGGTGCCCAAAATATATTTGTTGAATGAATTAATGAATGAATGAGAACAGAGTGTGAATGGACAGCAGGGCAAAGGCTGGAGCAGTCAGCCAGGCCTGGAAAGTGTGCTAAGGGCAAGGACTCTACCCTGAGAAGCGGGGAGTCATCACACGGTTTTCGTCTCATGCTGGTGAAAAAGGTGAGGCTTCCCTCTAGGGCACAGCGGAGAGCGGATTGGGCAGAGAAGGACAAGTGAGGCAGAGAGAAGCCCTGGTGAGGGGTGATAATGTGAGACAAGGGAGAAGTGGGCTGGGGGGCAGTGCAGCCAGATGACTTGGGACTTTGGTGGGAAGGGGAGGAGGAGTCAGGGTGGCCACAGTGTTCTGCTTGTGGAGCTGGGCAGGAGGAAGTGCTGGCGCTCACAGCTCGCCCATCTGGACCATGGAGAGTTGAAGGCGCTCTGAAACTGCCATGAGGAGTGACCCGCAGGCTCTTGGGAGGGGGTCTGGGCTGGCGAGGGAAACTGAGAGTCATCAGAGCACAAATGGTGACAGAGGATGGGAGAGGGAGACACTGTGACTGGAAGACAGCAGGAGAGAAAGGGCCCAGGGCAGGGAGGGCGATGAGCTGCTTTATGACAGGAAGGGACGCACAAGTCTGCAAATGAGGCTAGAGCAGGGCGCTGGGAGTGTGGCCTCAGGATACCCGCGGTGGACAGTTCCAGGGGCACGGAGCAGCCGGCCAGTGGTTGCTGTCCTCCGGCGGACAGCGGGCACAGCAGGGTCAGAGCATGTGGCCAGCTGGGCCTCAGGGCCTCAGGGCCCCTTGGAGGGATGGGCAGCAGCCGCACTGTCTAACAGTCACTCTCACCCCCTTCCAGTTCTTCGCCTTCATCACCACCCTGCTCTACGTGCTCCACGCCTTCAGCATCTATTACCACTGAGGGCAGGGGTCCCCCCGGCGCGAAATGCTCTCGTAAAGCGTGGACCATTGGCTCCCGAAGATTGCTTCAGCATTCGCCATCTGGATGACACACAGACCAACAAAACGTCAGCGGGACTAACAGACCGTTTTTTCGGACAGAGGGATGAAATCCCACTCCGCATAGCCTCCTGGACATGGTAATCCATCGTGATGACTGTGAGAGGCTGCATTGCCTTCGTCTGGAAAGTAACTGGCTCCAGAAAACTCGTTTCCAAAGTCCTCAGCGTTGAGAATCACGATCCACCAGCGTCACATCTGCCTGGGGACCCCGTCTCAGCAATTAGGGTCCCCAGGCAGGTGTATGGGAACGTGCAGTCTTAGTTTCTTAAAGCCTACGTGGTGCTATCAATGCCTCTACATCACATCTCTGCTTAGATGCAGGCCCTCTCCCGCCCTGTGCTTCCCGGCAGCAAAGACCAGCTGCACTGCCACCCCATTACATCCTCCCTCCCTTTCCTTGCCCAGCCTTGGGATCCAATTTAGAGGCTAGATTTGCAGGAAAAGAAGTGAATGATTCTACAAAATTGTTATGTAGTAAGAGCTGGGTGTGGGATGGGCTGCAGGACCCTGCCCGACAAGGACCGGAAGCCACCTTGCTCCCCAGAAGGCCTTCAGGGAAGGAAGCAGGATGTTACGCACAAGGATTCTCATCTGGGCGCCTCTCACACTGCGGGACATGTAAGGAGGCCGGAAAGGGCCTCCGTCCAGGGACGTGCTCTTTCGTGGGTGCCCACTCCCCTCCAGGCCCTGCTGTGGTGCCAGCAAAGAGCAGCCTGGGCCACTCCGCTGCCTCCCACAGTGCGGGGCTCCCACGGCTGGACACATGGCGTTCGACTTTTGGACCATTCTCCGCGAGAAGGCTGGCGTTGTGCACACAGAAACACAAAGAGAGGTGCTTGGTTTCAGAGTAAACGTCTTCCCTGAGAAAGCTGTGCATCTGGCTTTCTCCACACTGTCCTCAGCTCCACGGTGGCCTCTGGCCTCGGGCATCGCCCACAACCGCACGCACCTGCTGTCACTTTGAAACGAAGTAGGCTAGACCTGGAGGGACTCATCTTCGCTGATGTAGGGGCTCACAGTTACCGTCTTCTGCTCCTGGGAGAAGGGGGACTGGGAGTCACCGAAGAAAAACTGGCTTCGCTGTCGCTGCCTGCTGGCTTCCTGCTTGCCCCGCTATCTTGAAAACCCCCTTTACTCCTCTCTTTCTTGCCTGGCAGCTGCCTGGGATGAGCACTGTTCAATATGCACTGAGTAGCCACATCCAAATAAAAGGTGTTTTACAGTAAAACACACCGAGTGGGCCATGTTGGTGATGTTAGAAGCTGGAAACGCTCAGTTTCACGGCCTGACCGCAGTTTCCCACAAGCCCCTGTGGAGGTTTCTCAGGCCGGCCCACCGGCCAACCCCATGCGAGGCCACATTTGTCTCCAGGGCTTGGGCAGCTTGTCCGCCACAGTAAGGACAGTTTGGGCCCCAGAACCAAACTCGCTCAGCTGAGGCAAAGCTGGGGGCGCAGTGGCTGTTCCTGGGTAGAGGGCAGACCCTTTGCCAGCCCTTTGTTCCTGCTCTTCTTCCTGGGGTGCTGTCCTCTCTCCCACCACCCCGAAGGCCCCCACTCACCGTGCAGACACTGTGGGCCCAGCCCCGAGCCGTGCCCCACCCCTTCACCTGCAGCTGACACAGTTCCAGGCTCACCACCGCCTTCCTACCTTGGGGAGTGGGGGTGGGGGAGGGTCTCTTTTACTTCTAGGGCCCTCCCAGGCTCCCGACTTTACAGGGAAGACCCCAAGGCATCCCAGCAGGAAAACACCCCAGGGGCCAGGGCCCAAGCTCATCTAAACTTCACTTTCCCATCTGCACCCCAACTTCCCAGCATCCTGCGCCCAAATTCTTGCTTGGCTCAGGATGCCTGGGATGACCAAGGCACCAAGTATCCCATTCCATGTCTTGAGCCCCAAGCATGTGGTTGCTGGGCTCACCAGCCACTCCCCTGCACCAGCTAAGCAAGCCAGCGGCAGGTTAGATTTGCTGTTTTGACTCAGCCAGCCAGCAATTCTGCTTTGGCCAATAACTGGGCTACAACCTTTCAAAGAGATGAAACTATAATTAATATTTCAAAAACAAACAACAATCCTGACCCAGTGGCTCAGTTGGTTGGTGCATCATCTGGTGCACCAAAACGTTTCAGGTTCGATTCCCTAGCAGGGCACATACGGAAGGCAACCGATGGATGTTTCTCACATCAATGTTTTTCTCACTCCCTCCTCTCTCTAAAATCAATAAACATATCCTCAGGTGATGACTTAAAAAATAAGAAAACAACATACCTCTGGGGTCAGCCAGACAGGACTGGAAAAGCCCCAAATGACAGAGTGTTGGTTCCCCCACCCGCCCCTGATCTGTCACTGGCCTTCGTGTCTGGAATTTGAAGTGGAACCTGTCTTGGGGAAGGCTGGACACTGACCTGGGAGAACCACATGTAGGCTCTCCAGCAGCATGATGGGCGGCGGAGAGGCAGCACCACTCTGTTGACTTCCCCCAACACCTGCAGAGCCAGATTCTCCCTCAGGTGGAGCTGGTCCTTTTTAGGAGACCAGAGGACCACCAGTCCCAGTGCTGCCACACACCTGTCCCTCTGTCACCATCCCCCAGGCTGTGTCTCTGCCTCTGTCCAAGACTGTGCAGTACACAGCAACACTTCACCTGTCAGCAGCTCACAGCTGGGGAAAGGTGAGGCATGTCCATGGTGATGCCGAACCACCAGGGCAGAGGTTTAGCTCCCAGGAACTCTTACTGACCTAGTAGACCTTGTCCTCACTGTACTGGGACTTATCTCTGTGTAGTTCAGCCCGTCTCTGCCCCAGGTGTGTGTTTTATCACGGGAGAATGTTCGACGTGGTGATAAAGCAGGGGGCTGACTCAGAGCCCCACCTAGATGCCTCTTTATTGTAACTAGGCAATCCAGGAAGCACCCTGGTTTCTGTTGGCCTCACAGTGTCCCACTGACCTCCCACCCCTGCTCCAGAGTCCGTAGCTGCATCTCCCAGGGGACTGGAGCAGCAGGCAGCTCTGGCGTCTACTGTTGCTCAGCTCTGCCCATCCCCCCCTTCAGGCCTGCTCCTGCGTCAGCTGCTCAGTGACACCACATCCCCGCCTCACAGAGGAAGCCATCCCGATTTCACATCCAGACGCTGCGTGCTCAGGTCATCGGTCAAACTTTAAACCTCACCCCAGCATTTCTCCATATTTTCTTCCTTGTTTTGGCCCTTTAACCTAAGAAGTTTTCAAAGCATTGGAAACAAAATCAGGTTATCAAAACATGCAGAATGCCACCCCAGGAAGGTCAGCCAGCCCTGAGCCATGCTCTCGTCCCACTTTTGCATTAGCTCCAGGTGGGTAAATTAATGTGTGTGACAGGCAGGGCCCCTGACACCCGTTCCAGGCTTCTTCGTTGCTCCCATGATCCTGCTGGTGGTGAGGGCTGGATTCTGGCAACTGAGAAGGAAGCAGAGATCTCCTGGGGGTTGGGGGCAAGGGGCTTGGGAAACCTTTTGCTTTCCTGAAGGGGTCAGACATGACTGGCTGTCTTAGATTGAGTTCCTGGGGACAGGGTCTGAGCCTGAGGCTGTGTTTGTGCAGGTTTACTGAGGAGGCCTCTGGGGAGATGAACCTGGGACAGATGAAAGGGGCAGGACAAGTCGAAGAGGTGCTGGCCTGAGTGAGGTTGCAGCCTTGGCCCAATGAGTGGCTGCCCCTGAAGAGTTGCCCTGCCTGGCCAAGACACAGGGCAGAGCCTCTGCCTGCCACATCAGCGTCACGGGCACCAGGTCATTTTTAGGGGTAAGGGTGCCAAGGTATCAGTGGCAACTGCTCTCTCGCTGGCCCTTCCCTAGCAGCTGGAGGTGGCAGCCACACCCACTACTCTGTCCTCTCCCCTCCTGCCTTGAACAAGGGTATCATGGCTGGGGCAACTTCAAGGAGATGGTGAAGAAGCTCGCCAGACAGGAAAACTGTTGGACCAACACCAGCCACTACTTCCCTCAATGCTTTTTGTTTTGTTTGTTTTTAAATTTTGTTTTAATTGATTTTCAGAGAGAGGGAAGAGAAGTGGGAGAGAGAGATAGAAACATCGATGAGAGAGAAACATCACATTCATCAGCTGCCTCCTGCACAACCCTCACTGGGATTGAGCCCTCAACCTGGGTATGTGCCCTGACTGGGAATCAAACCGGCAACCTCTTGGGTGCATGGATTGATGCTCAACCACTGAGCTATACCAACATTTTCGCTTTCTGTGACTCCCATTGTGGTTGACTCTCTAAAAGGCATTCTCTTTCCCAACTCCAGTGCCCAGTCTTCCCTCAGAGGGCCCCCTCCTGTGTGGCTCTGGAGTCTATTTTCTCCTCGCTCCTCTAGGCCCATCACTGGAGTCGCACACAGGACCTGCATGCCCAGTACCAGGTTCTGCCTTCAGGAACCCCTAATAGTCCCCAGCCCGGATCAGATTCTGTCCCTGCCTGGCCCATAGTCCTTCACTACCCTCAGAATGAAGTCCAGCCTCCGTAGGAAGTGGCCACCAGGCCCTCCGCACAGGTCTGACCCTGCCCCTGATGGCCCTGTGTCAGGATGGCCCTGCGGCTGCTCTGCCCTGCTGCTGTGGCTGCAAAGTGGTGGACTTTCTGTCCCCACCCCCTGGGCACATGAAGCCCTGACCCTCTTGCTGCCATGAAGAGCTCTTATTTGTCTGCAGAGCATCTTCCACCACTCCTCCCTCCCTCCCCACCCCTGCAGTAAGTCACTGCCTCCTCAGTGCCCCTGCACCCGAGTGCATGCTGCTGTCCCCACTAGGCCACAAGGTTTCCACGTCTGGGTTCTGGCTTTTGGATGTTTCTATCATCTTTGCTCATCCCCACCCTCCCTGGCCCGGCCCCACCAGCCTCTGCTCTGAGTGCTCTTCCC